ATAAAATACATATAAGTATATTTATATATAATATCGTCTTGCACAAGGCCTATACCGTAAAACACACTGTTACGTTTAGTATTGCGATTAAAAAAAAATAAATAATATCGTAGCGATCGCCATTCTGTTAACGTGCTCGATTCGCGAAGTGATCTCATTTCGTATTATCACTACATGTCGATCGATCGTGACGGATATAATGTGCTTCTCGTCTGAAGAGTGCATGCGCTCTTTGCGATTTGGTTGTGTCGCGATGTAGTCTGGAATCGCAAATGTGTGAAAAAGCGCGAACTGAGTTTCCTCAAAAATTCTCGAGCGCCCTCGATATCGTACACCGCCAGAAAATCGCAAGGCTTACAAAATTGCCATTCGTGATGTAGTACGAAGTGCACGTATGAATGCAGCCTGAAGCAGAATTGTGATTATTGTGTATATAAATCAGAAATCGTAGCGATGAAAATCGTTCGCGATTCGCCAGAAGACGAGAGACTCGATTTTTAAGATATATACTTATGAATAAGAAAACAATAATACATCGCAAGTATCTATCGATTCTCTTTCACATAATCCCAGAAGATGCAATATCCTCAGAGAGATTAATAAAGCAAAATTTTAATTGTAGCTTTAATCAGACATCTACCATCACGTTACCATCCCATAGTTTTCTTCTGATCGATCATAAAGTGATCTGTTACGATATCTCATGCAACGTATTTCTTATCTATTTTCTTTTCATTTTTATTTTCTTTTTTATATAATCACTGATAGGCACAATAAAGGCTTTTACGTTTCTGTCAGCGCAAACGAGAAGTACGAACGATGAAAGTGACTTTCGAAAGGCCAATAACGATTTTATGTTTTGTTCATTGTGATGTGATTTTCGATATAATAGATACGAGTAATTTTCCAAACAATATAATTAATTATTATAAAATAATTTTCTAAAAAATATTTTTTGTACTGTGAAAATAACTCGTGAATAGAATTGGAGAAACTTAAAGAATAAATCTTTATAATAAATGTCTTTTTTTATTGTTGAAACAATCATATATTACTATATTCCAGATCAAAAGTTTAGAAACACTTTTTTTTTAAATTGACGTTTTTGGAACTATTCAAATGTCAATGTGTTTTTTAATAATAACTTTTCAAATCCAGTAATAGGAGTTATTAGATTCCAAAACATTGCTATGGATATTTGGAGAAGTAATCCGAAAACGTCAACTTTTAAAAATATTACTTTTTAAAAATTATACTTTTTAAAAATATTTCCAAATTTTGGTCTACCATGCATATTCTCAATAATTATATTTTATGCAAATTCTTATCCTCCGATTTATTTTCCAATCTCACTTATTGTGATACAATAAATAAATTTGCTCTCCAAATAAACAAACGAAAAGTGTTTAAATAAATTCCAAGAAACTTGATTTTATGTATTTTTACGAAAGCTCTCTAACAGTTTAAAAATTAAAGATTAATCCGTATCATTTAAGATTAGTCGAAAGATTTACATTACGCATAAAAATGTGCACGTATTGCAGTGGTTACACGTATTGGCAGCTAACATAATGTCTTGTGGCCCTTTTATTTTCTTCCGATCGCAAATATGGCGAAAAATGTAAGGGCGAAAGGGACTACTGTCCCTTTTTTTTCGTACGACTAATTAAGTGCTTTTTATGCGAAATAGGATTGATGCCAGACATTCTGTAATAGAATGTATTGCCTTATCGTAAATCGTCGTCGAATATAATGCGAATCACCGAAAATGTTTCATCACGATTATCAAAGCGCATTAATTAAGCGTGGATTATCACGTGTGTATGCACCGATATGAAAGGTTTGATATACAGATGTCAAGTGCTCGCCAGTATCGATTCGGCCTCGTTTCGAAACTTTACTTCAGACTGAGAGAACATTATTTTTTATTATGAATACATGAACACATATCAGCAGTCCTTTCTCGGATAGTAGCTTTCGCTAGTTTTACGATACACCATTTTCTCAAGACAAAAGGAAAGTTTTATTTGACATCAATGTGAAAACAGTCCATAATGTTATCTCTTTTAAAGAAAGCTTCGCGTACAATAATGCGATAAATCTCGGTTTCTTTGATATATATATATTTGGTTAAACAAATTTTTTAAAATACTCAAGAATTTCTTTGAATATTCCTTTAACAATTGTTTCTCTCATTTAAGTTTACTATTTCCAGCGTGAAATAGTTTTATAATTTTAAAATTGGTTTGACACAGAATTTTTTTTATCTGCATTTAATTCTGCAAATTCTTTTAATTTTGAAGAAATAACGTTTATTAAAAAATCATTCATATCTCGATATTGAAAAAACTATTTTTCTTCTTTGTGTAATATTGGATCGAATATTCAACATCAAAGAGATATTTTCGCATATTTTGGCATCTGTGCATCAAATGATCGCGCAAGTTCTTCCTTGAGGGAAGAACTCTGGTCCTTGTTGAGAGACATCGGTAGTAATCGCAAATCTTATATAATAATATCGTTTTTAGACGGTAATCACAATGCGCTTAATGATGTCTTCCTCGCATAGACATACTAAAATAGTAATACGTCGATTACTGTGAAAGTGTGTTGCCTTAATAGCATCAAGATGTTTCCTTTTAATTAGGCCTTACCAAGCGAATCTAATTGAACCTTCTTAAACTGCTTACGATATCCAATGAATGCGTCTGATCCGCGAAAGTCTAACATTGGCGAGATTTTCCGAAAATTGTTTGTAGATAAATATACGTCTCGCGAGCCTTTCAAATTCGAATCATTCGAGAAATCTTGTCTAATCTCTGTCTCATAACTCTCAGCTATAGTCTTTTCTCTCCCAGAGCTGAACTATTAAATATTTATTCACGGAAAAAACGATTTTTTTAATAAAGTAGTTAAATTTAGATAAATACAAATCTGAATGTAATTTTATTTTGAGTTCAAAATAATTATACAGGAAACAAACATGATCATGATGACAGTAATGCAAAAAGTTTTTATAACTAGCTTAAATGTTTTACATAATTATACTTTATTAATTCAATAAAACTATTTTCAGGTCTGTATCCAGCTAAATTTTTACATACACAAAACCGTTTTGTCCGTGTGGATTTGTGTGGATTAAATCCGCGCGGAACAAAAAGCATCGGTTTACTTAGAAGAGTTAATCGATGCATAGAAAGGACAATTTTGTTGTAGTATCTAAAAATTTGCCTAGATACATATCCGAAAATAATTTTATTGGATCACCAAAATAATTACATAGGATATTCGAATTAGTTGTTAGATTGTCAAAACTTTTTGTAGCATTTCTTGTCATACTTAAGAATTCTAGTAATTATTTTGATTAGCCAACATAAAATTTTTTTCAGATCTGTTCTTAACTAAATTTTTAAATACTTCAAAATCGTTCTTTCTGTATTCATGAAACTGGCTTACGATTAATCAGATCAATTGTCACGTCTCTCAATGATGCTTTCAGACATTCGATTACTTATCTTATAGCAAGAGTTTTGTCGAGTCTCTACATTCGCACGAATGTAACTCGTATCACTATAAATAGACATCTACGACGTGTAATCGCTTATCATAGACAAACTTTGTGATAGTCTCAAATGTAGCTTGGGCTTAACCGAATGTAATGTGCGCGTACGTGTGTTTCGGATTATTCTGAACGAGAGCTTGCCTCGCATTGGCAACAAATGTTTCCTACGGTGTTTAACATGACTGTGACACGATCAAGATGACGACGATGCAGGATCGCGGTAGATTATATTTGTTTCGCGTTATCATCACTGCATTATTTAATAAGCTATGATGTCGTTATTCGAGCTCTCGCATGTAATAGGGTGCATACATAATACCTATAATATCCGTTGCGATTATTGCAGATGGTGTGGTATCGTAAATATTTGCTCAGGCCACCTTCGCCGAATATACGAACACTTCTTGCGTCATCCAGGTCGATTTCCGTTCGACTCATGACCGTGTTGCGTATGTACAGATACAGAAACGAGCGATATTTGACCCCTCATACACGATGAACAGACGAAATCCTTTGTGGATTTAATTCTTGGCTAGCTGTCGAAATTTCCAACCGGCCGGATAGACCTCGGATCATCCACCGAACTAACAGCTGCATCTCCAAGCATCACCTTGTTGAGACGGTGACTGCGCCTTAATTATACTGTCCGCGCCTTCTCTCTCGGAAGCCTCGAACAGGCTTGCCTGCAACAGTAATTGTTCATGAGACAGCTCCGTTAAGTTTGCAATTAAAAGATAAGAGCAGAGAAGAACGTCTCATTGAAATTCCTTCTCTTATAAAAGGAATTTTGATAAAAAAAAATGTATTGAGAACATTAGCAACATTAGCAACATTCTAATTAAAAATAATCTTGTTAATTTTCAGTGATAATATTGAATGAAATAAACGTCATTCTTGTTTTAAAATATTATTTGTTTAAATATTACTTTATTAATAATGTTATTGAATAAACATTTTATTTGGATTTTTTCAATTAGCTATTAACTAATGCTATTAAGATTTTTTTCTGTGCATCTACTATATCCTAGATAGAACATAAAATTATAATAAAATCATCAAGCAAAATGACATCAAGTAAAAATTATTCTTAAAAAAATTATAATGATATCATTCAATGTACTTTTGACAACTTTAATTAATTCTTGATATAGTAATGATATTTTAAAGATTTTTTTTTTAATTCAAAGTTATTAAATAAAATATTAAAAATATTAAAAATAACTTATTGAAAATATTTTATAAAGTTAAAAATTATTATTAAATTCCTAAAATAACTTTTATTTAATGTTACTTTGATCTTACTATGATTTATGTTCTACCACTAGTGCTAACTCACTAGTTCCTAACATTGTTTTTCTCTGAACGTACAAATAAACAAGTTATTAACGCGAACAATTTTACCCGACGTCCTCGTTGTTCCCGTATTCTTCTAGCTAGAGTAAGAAAAGCCTCTTCGATGTTGATATTCTCCTTGCATGATACCTCGAAGAAGGGCATATCAAAATTTTCGGCAATCTTTTGACCTCTTTCGGCGTCTACGGCGCGATGCGCGGTCGCGTCGCATTTATTCGCAGCCAAAACTTTTACTACATCCGGTGACGCATTCTGTGATGCAAATGAAAAAATTACTTATAATTCAAGATTTTGTACAATTATGTTGCAGATAACTTTGAACTTATTCATGATGAAACTTCTATTTCTTCATGAAATTAATTTTTTTTCAATCTCAATTTATATTGAAGGATTTAACATGTTAGTTGATTATACTTTATTGAAAGATTTAACATATTAATTGGCTATAATAATAGTTAATAATCTTTTAATATAATTTATCCATTTTCTTTGCAAATTTTTCTGATTTCAAGTTTTCAGTCGTAATTTTATTCGAACAGTCTTTTAGTACTTTCAATTCTTTTTCTGGACTTCTTAAGGTCATTTAATTGCGGCCATTTAAAAAATATACAACGCGAATTTATTTTTGTTCGCGTAACGTTCTATCATTAGAATCTATTCTATCTTTAATCTTACTTCTTGAATATTTCGTAGCCAATACGACAAATGGTTGAAACTCTCCAAACTAGTGACATCGTACATCAAAAGAATACCCATGGCACCACGATAGTACGCCGTTGTTAAAGTTCGAAATCTTTCTTGGCCGGCAGTATCCCTTTTCAAAAAAAAAATATACTTTTTTACATTTACAGGTATACTTCCTATTACTTTATTTTATTTATATACGACTTGTCACTTTACATGCAGATTATAGCTTTATGAAACCTAAGAGAATTAAAAAGATTAAAACCTTCTGAGAGGGAATTCTTTGGTTTCTTTATTTGAATTTAAACATTATTTGATAAATAGTTTTATCCGCGAATTCTTAAATTAATTATTAATTAATACTCACCAGATTTGTAATTTAATCGGCGTTCCATCTAAGTTAATGATCTTCTGTTTAAAATCAATACCTGCAGACACATTCACCATTTATTTGTCATGATGTATAAATATTTTTGGGATAATTGCACATTGAACAAATATTAAAGTTTAATCAAAATCAAGGATTCATGATATACTTTAATTATATTTGTAGCTCGGAGCTATTAAACGTTATCTCTAATTAAATGATTATTGTAATAGTTTATACATCAGAATTCCTTCGCATGCAAACAGAATGATTAAAATATATATAATTTATTTATATATACAAAAATTAAATTACTTTTTGTAAACTGATTGAGAACAAATTGAAATGAGAACAAATACGAAGCTAATTATAAAATATCATATTATTTCATCTAGCAAGAGTATATTTTTGTAGCATATCTTTGTAATATATCTTTGGAACATTTTTATAATTATAACAATTTATATTGAGACAATTGCTGAAAATAATTTGATCTGATAATAAGTTTAAAATTAGATAGTTATACTTAGCAACATCGAAGTTGGAGCGAATGTAAGATAATCATGTTTGTGAAGTTGCCCCGCACTTTCCGAATTCTATAATTTTTTAAATTGCGCTGACAATGAGTTGTGCTGTGTTTGTGCCCCAAACCGCATCTCAATAACTGAAATATTTTGCCTCTCTCAAAAAAAGTTTGCTAACCATGAAACTTCAAATTCGTGTAAAGAGTGTGAGATAATCGAATTCTGCGAGTGGTGCTGAATTGTGTTATCAAATCAATTCGGCACAATTCGCAGAGTTCGATTATCTTAAGTTATACGAGTTCGAAGTTTTTCATTCCTAAACATTTTTTTGAAGACTGATTCATAACTTTGACGATACCGCGAAATCTATTGGTCTGAGGAAATTTTGCCATTAAGAAAAGTTGTCGTATATATTGTAGCATAATTTATCATAACTAAAAAAAATCTAAAAATGCCAAATTTTTTTATTTATCTCTACCCTATTTCAAAAACTTTTACTGAATACTTAAGCTAATCTCTTTTTTATGCATGCTTCGTAGATTTTAAGTAGCACAATTCAGCACAACTCACAGAATTCGATTATCTCATATAGTTCGCAAATTACAGGAGTTTGAAATTTTTTATGCCTAAATATTGGTAAGGCTAGCAAATTTTTTTTAACGCTTTACATTATTGAGTTGCAGTTTGCAGCACAAATCGGCACAAACGCAATACAACACAGCGTAATTAAGAAAATTACAAAATTTGATAAGTGCGGGCCAATACACGTAAGATAATCAGCTGATCAATGATCTAACTTAATATATATTTTTTACGGAATACATAAATAAACATATTTGCCAATTGACAAGTTAATTAAATTTAGTGAATGAAGTAATTAATTAATTATACTATATATTTATTTTCGCTAAGAATATAATATTAAGTTTAAATTAAAATGTCAAAAGAGAAAATTGATTCTACTTCTTACTATTTCGCGACAAATGGAGAAGATGAAAACGCTGCATATTAAATACATAAAATTAGAACAATGAAATGAATTGGAGCAGTTGTTCTTTTCTAATAGCAGGTCTGCATTGGAGACAAAGACATGACCTCATCTAATAGTCAAGAGTTAATTAACGACTACTCGTGTCAATGATGTATGGGACTGATGCGTCGGTCCGTCGTATCCGGAGCAAAATTAAAACGCGTGCCTTTATTGTTATCGTTACCAAGGAAGATGAGTTGTCGTAAGCTAGTCGTAACTGGCACCAAGATACGTCACAATGAACCACCCAACAACAAGTCGCTGAAACAATGCGACTCCGGAGGCGGTCGTCGCAGATGAGAACGGGAAATCCGATGAATATTTTTATAATGGTGTCTTCTCACCTATCGTCGAGATATAAGTGTCGTAGTACCGTTCGTCGCAGTAGCGATGCACGATGCAGGTCTTGCCAACGTTCGAGTCGCCTAAAACCAAGACTTTATACGTCGCTGCGAAATCCAACGCCATGTTTGCAAGAGGTCTCGGAAGGTTTTGAACTGTTGTTGAGTCGACAACAGAGTCGTCGGCCGGGGGTTCTTCGCGGACGCCTGGGGAGGATGAGATGGGGGTGGAAGATCGATTCGAGGCTTGCGCTGTAGCCCCTATACGAGCAGAAATTGAATCAGGATGTGATTAAGGCCCCAGATTATCTTTAATATCAGGTCCTGATAAAGAATCCTGATAGGGGCCATTAGGAATGTAACACAATTTATATTATATAAGGAGATACATTTAAAAGAATAATTTAAAATTATTCAACATGAATTAACATTAAAATTATTTAACATTAATTATTTAATTATTTAACATTTGATAATTAAATTATTTTTATTCTTTAATTTTTTCTGATTTTTCGCTCCTTTCACTTTTCATCCCAATCTTTCGTATTATTTAAAACGCTGCCCAACGCCTGAAAAAATTTCTCATGCTTCACTTCAGAAGATTCGTTATATTTATTAAATTTTATATTTATTAACAATTGGCATTTAAAATATAATAGAATTATTATAAAAAAAGAAAAGCTTGTAATACTAATATAAAGTATGTATAAGAATTAAGATCGTAGGTGACTATAATAATAATAATTTTATAAAATGAGACTTATTTCTTGTAAAAAATGTTTCACACTACACTTCTGCTAGAAATATTTAAAATAGAATGTTCAAGCAGTTCTTTATATAATCATTTTTTAATAAAATAAATTATTTTTTACAAACACATATACACACGCGCGCGAAAGTTATATGTAAATATAAATCTACAATACTTTTCAAGCATTCGCTAAAAGTCGTATCTTTAATTGTTTTTTACAATCTTTAGGCTTTGGGCTGTATAACTTATGCTTAATTCAAACTGGAAGCAGCAAGCATCAAGAAGCGAAGCAGTAACCAACCAACAAAGTGGTATTTTTTACCACTGTAAATATCGCCTCACTGATTGGTTGCTGCTCTGCTGCTTAACGCTTGTTGCATCCAATTTGAATTAGGCAATAGGCATTGAACGTCACAAAATATATACTTTTTTCAAAATATAGTCGCTGACTTTTTTTACTGGTGAACTTTTTTAGGTGAATCTACTGAACTTCACATAATATATTTATCTAAGACAATAAAAAATAAATCCATCACCACTTGCACATTATCACATTATTTAGCTAATATTACAATAGCTAATATTAATGATATCACCTCATTCATCATTATTTAATTGTTTATTCTTCTATTGATGTGTTTTGTAGTTATTATTTTTTACTTATATTATTCTTTTTTATTTATCTCCATATATTTTATATTTTAGTATTACATATATAATAATTTTTTATTCGCCACATTATATTGTATAGTAAAATTTATAAAAATAAAGAATTAATTAAAAATAAATTAATTTTGTAAAGTTAATCATAAAAATCATTTAAGTTTAAAAAATTAACATTATTTTTCCATTTCATTAAAGACAAATTTTTACTTTTAAATTTTTTAATATCTTTTTTTTTGGCGTTTTATTTTATCAGTTATACTTATATACATAAATATACATATAAATATCTGCTATACAGGGTGTATCTAAGCTAACGTCCACTAATTATAGTGCTATTTCTAATAAAAATTTGAGTCGAAAATATACGTCAAAGCAAGGCTTAATTTTGCGAAATTTTTGTGGAAAAACGGATAAAGATAGAGAAATCAGATTTGTTCCATTGCAAAGATCAAGATTGCATACTTTTTTCTACTTCCATTAATTCTTTACTACCATTAAAATTTTATAAAAAAATAGAGTTATTCAAATTTTCGTACATCCATGTTTTACAAAATGGGATTTAAGATGGTCATTGCTGCTCGTAAAAGACTCATCTGAAAGCAAAATGACACCAATTTTATAAAATTGAAACATAGTTCTTGAGCTTGATGGAACCGTTTTTTAAAATATTGCGTTTGAATAAAATGACAGCTAATCAAAATCAACATAACGATTTTTCACAAAAAATTTTGCTTGTTTAAGGCTACTAAAAAAGAAAACTAAAAAATCCTCTACTAAAGAAAACTAAAAACTCCTTTTTTAACCTGAACGAACTTGAATTGTCCTGTCGCGCGTCTACCTGTCATCTTCAACGCGCTTGAAGACTACTCGTCTATAATTTCATGTAACTCCTCTATTTTTTGCCAGATTGATTTATAATTCTACAAAAATGTTCTTAAGATTTACATTATATTTTAAAAATATGTAAAAAAGAATTCGATTTTTTTACCTCTAGGTGTTACATATGTTCTTTTAATGATTTATAGAATATTGTATAAATGTTTTATTTTTAAGACTTTCCGTAAACTCCAATGAATATAAATAATAAGGATTGGCAAACATTACTTTTCGGTTACTTTGTTATTACTTTTTATAATAAATAATTTGATGACAATGTTGCAATTTTTTATGATGGTAACGCTAACTAACTATTAAGGTTGTGCTTAAGTTAGAAGAGTCACTTTAAAAAGTAATTTGTTACTATTACGCGTTACTTACTAAAAAAAATAATAAGTAACATGTAATAAGTAACAAGTAACAAGTAACAAAAGTAATAAAAGTAATGAGTAAAAAGTAACGCGTAACAAATTAAGAATTTTTTTTTCAACGAATGACATTTTCAACCTGTTAGTTCAAATAATTTTACCTTTCTAATTCTAATATTATCGTCATAAAAAATTCACATTATCGTTACCAAATCATTATTATAACAAGTTTTTCTTGCGTAGAAGAAGAAAAAAATTTTCGCTAAGCCCATCATCCAGGATGCTCTGTAAAAAATCTAACCGGATAATGAGAAGACACCCAGGGGCCGGTCCCCTGAGCATACAAGGTTCGATGTGCCTGCATCCCCGAAAGGGGATAGCAGACACATCGCCTATCTGTTAAAAAATTCCCCCTGTGCACTATCATCAGATTTATTAGGTGCACTCCGGAACCTCCTACTCGGCATTTCATTAAGGCGCCTAAGTCGTGAAGCCAGAACTCTCACCACAATAGTCTAGTAGTCTAGTACTCCGCAGAGTGCTTAATTTAAGCCCAAACGCAATAAAATCTAACTATACGAAGGAGGAAAAGTAGACCAACTATGTACATCAATCTTAGTCGTCTGTACATCAATCTTAGTATCTGAAGAGGCAGAGGTAAGAAACACTCGACGCCTCTTCAGACTCTGACGCTCGTGCTCAACCAGTTCCTTCTTCCTTATTACAGTCTCACAAAAATTTGCAAGAACTGTCCAACAATGAGAAGAGTCCAAAGCAGCTCTCACCACCAGAATAGAGTTTATTCAAGGTGTCAAGCTCCAATGCATTAAATAACTCATTCGCCAATCCAATAAGGATAGAATAAGAATCGCTGTATCGATCACCGCTGCACAGTATGCACACTCTTAGAAGAACCTGAATGATCGATCTCGTAAAAGTAGCCCTTTAAATTCTTATGACCAGTTAAAACCTGAGTCATCCGTGAGATCACCGTAAGGACGACCCATCCATTCGTCCGATCCGTTCAGTAAGAGCATCACGAACCGTGGCGTTTCTGGAGGGAGGCTCAGCAGATGTTGATGCCATCGCTCTATAGCGTTGTTCGACTTCTCGCACAAGGGACAGAGCCCTCGACAAAATAAGGTCATCCTTTTGCACGATCAATCGCCTACAAAGAGATACATCTGAGATGATCCACCAAAGACTTAAAGGGCACTGATCTCGCCAGGGTGGCTGCCGTGAGAAACAGTGCGGTACACACTAATCATGTTAAATAAAAGTTGCCATTGGAGCTGCACTTTACGACATGTATGTCGGTCTCAGCTACGGTCTGGGCCCAAATCGGAGCACCGTACAGAACGAATGATATAAACGCGAACGCATATACGCGATGCCTGTTCTCACCAGATCTGTCAATATTGACCATTAGCCTTCTCAAGGCCGCAGCTATCCTCCAAATCAAAAGTGCTCAAAGGCAAAAGTGATTCTGAAAAGTCCATCTCGAGTCTAAGACTAGGTTTCAAGCTAGACCTCACAGGGATCGCTCCCCCCGCATCAGAAGGGAAGTGTTCGGAACATCATCGCTCATGAAAGCAATTATATATTTCAGTTTTATATTTAATAATATTTAATAATATTTCAGTCTTACTGACTGACATCGTAAGACTAAGGCTCGCAATAGCTTTGATTACCGTGGCCATCTTCAGATCTACACGTATGAAGGCCTGCCCAAATAAGGAGCCTCTCGCTATCAACAACATGTCATCGGCATAATAAATGGTGGAACAGGTCGGTGGCTGCCTACCGGCAATCGTAGGATCCAAACATAGGACCGAATCATACTCAACGCAGAGTCGGTTCTAAGACCGAACCTTGCAAAACACCATGGACGACCTGATAAATGAATTCCGCGGTCGACATGAGATACCTATTGAATAAATAATCCTCAATAGTGCACCTAAGGTACAGAAGAGAAAGAGCGATTTAACGTGCGATACCTGCAATTAAGCTTAACTCACACGACTCTCATGGACGTGAAATCGGAATACGGCTGATCAACGCGTCACGGCTATGTCTCCCAGTGCTCTCGCTTGTAGATCCTAACAAGCAACTCACTAATTGGAGCGAACGATTATCCACGCTCTATCAGCTATGCAGGCTAGTTCCTAACGTAACTCATCCGTCGAGGCCAGAGGCCCCTAGCCAGCATGTAGCTGTCAACCCTCGAATCCTATCTATGATTGGGTGAGGGAAATTGCCCAGTCCCCGCTGATCTCGATCATCGATCGGATCTTCGTAGCTTAGGTTATTCCCAATTTGCGTCGCCTACACGCACGACACTGGTCGGCCAGTGCTTCGGGTGTCGCCGGGACGCTACTACTCGCTTTACAGAAATCGCTCAGCAACCCGATTTTGGGCCTAGCCCTGAGGCAGAGCGCCAAGCTTTCAACCTCCCTCAGCCCCTCTCCTTGCTAA